GAACTACTTTTGCTGCATCCCATACATTTTGTATTTTCATTTTCATTGGTTTCCAGGAAGTTTTAAATTTCTTCCTTGGTCTCCTTGGTAATCCATTAGTTGTTTAAGAACATGCTATTTAGCCTCCATGTGTCTGAAAGTTCTTTAGTGTTTTTATTGTAATTGACTTCTAGTTTCATGCCACTCTTATCTGAGAAGATCCTTGATATGATTTCAATCTTCTTGAACTTGTAGAGGTTTGTGTTCTAACATGTGGTCTATCTTTGAGAATGTCCCATGTGCACTTGAGAGGAATGTGAATTCTGAAGTTTTGGGTTGTAATTCTCTGCAGATACCTATTAAATTCATTTGATGTAGTGCATCATTTAAAGTCTCTGTTTCCTTGCTAATTTTTTGTCTAGAGGATCTATCCAGTGATGTCATTGGGGTGTTGAAGTCCTCTGCTATGACTGTTTTGCTGTTGATTTCTCCCTTGAAGAGTTCCAGAAGTTTTTAAATATATTTTGGTGCTTCTATGTTGGGTGCATATATGTTTACCAAGGTTATATCTTCCTGCTGGATAGATGCTTTCAGTATTATGTTGTGGCCTTCTTTGTCTCTAGTTCTGGCCTTCATTTTAAAGTCTATTTTATTGGATATGATTAGTGCTACCACAGCTCTTTTTTCCTTTCCGTTTGTTGGGAAGATTTTTTCCATCCCTTCATTTTCACGCTATGTGACTCTTTTGATGTGAGGTGGGCCTCTTGTAAACAACATATATATGAGTCATGCTTTTTATTTTTATTTTTTTATTAATTTATTTTTGTTACAGATGTTTCTCCCTTTTTTCTCCATTGACAATCTCTACTCCATCCGTCCCAAACCATACCCAGCTTTGTTGATGGTGTCCATCAGTTATGCATACATGCATATAAGTTCTGTGGTTTATCTCTTCCCTCCACCAACCATCCCCTCTTCTGAGGATTGTCAGTCTGTACCCTACTTCCACATCTCTGGGTCTACCCAATTCCTCAGACTGTTATGTTCATTATATTCCACAAATAAGTGAGATCATGTGATATTTCTCTTTCTCTGTTGGCGTGTTTTGCGTAGGATAATACTTTCCAGATCCTGGGAGATGGTCTGTGTAGCTTCCATTCACTCTGCCGCCATTTTGGAATCCCGAGTCATGCTTTCAATCCGTTTACATTTATAGTTATTAATGATATGTACTTATTTATTGCCATTTTTATTTATTGTTATATTTTTCTTTCTATTTCTTCTAGTAATTATAGCAGTTCTTTTAACATTTCTTTCAGTGCTGGTTTGGTGCTAATATATTCCCTTAACCTTTTTTTTTTTGGTCTGGGAAGCTCTTTATTTGACCTTCTATTTTGAATGATAGCCTTGGTGGATAGAGTAGTCTTGGATTTAGAACCTCGTTTTTCATGATCTTGATTACTTCATGCCATTCCCTTCTGGCCTGCAGTGTTTCTGTTGAGAGTCAGATGATAGCCTTATGGGGGTTCCTTTGCAGGTACCCTGTTGCTTATTTCTTGCTGCCTTTAGGATTCTCTCTTTGTCTTTAATTTTGGCATTTTAATTATCATATGTCTTGGTGTGGGCCTGTTTGGGTTCTTACTTGGGGCTCTCTCTGTGCTCCTTGTACTTGAATGCCTTCTTCCTTCACCAAGTTAGGGAAGTTTTCTGTCACTATTTCTTCAAATATAGTCTCTAACCCTTACTCATTTTCTTCTTCTTCTAGAACTCCCATGATGCGGATGTTATTATGTTTCATATTGTCCCACAATTCTCTTAGGCAGTCTTCTTCTTTTTGTGTTTTTTATTTTTGGTTCTCTGATTGGGCGATTTTTTCTACCCTGTGTTCTAATTCACTAGTCTAATCCTCAGCTTCCTCTACTCTGCTGGTTATTCCTTCCAATGTATTCTTTATTTCTGTTATGTCATTCTTCATTTTCATTTGGTTGGTTTTCAATGCTTCTATATCTTTACTCTTGCTGTTGAGCTTCCTTATGATTATTACTCTGTACTCTCCCTCTGATACCTTGCTCAATTCCTCTCATTTATTTCATGTTCTGTCGAATTATCTTGTTGTTTCATTTGGGATTTGTTTCTTTGTTTCACCATTTTGTCTGTCTCAGTGGGTTTTGGAGCCTGCCAAATATTCTTTGTGGGTGTTGGTGTTCCACTGGTTGTGACTCCCTCTACTGGGTTTGGATGAATGTGGGAAAATCCATGTTAAACACCACTGTCAAGTCTTACTTTCCTGGGTAGATGTTCAAGCCCAGGAAAGATTCAGTTATCCTCTTGCTTTTTGCCTGGAGGTTATTAGACTCAGTTACTTGATGAGCCTTGGGTTGTAGCCTTCAACTGAATGCAAAAATCCCTTAGGTGTTCAGGGTAAGAGGATTTCCAGAGGGTGGGGCAGATGCTCGCTGGCTGTTAATGAGCCTCAATTTCCATTTCTGTGGCCTGGCCAGGTGGTGTTAAATTCCTGAGGGAGGAGCTGGTGCTTCTCCCCAGGGCTCTGGGGTTCTTTGAGTACTATGGCTAATGTCCTATGAGGAAATGATTCAGCACAAAACTCCCAGTGCCCTCCAAATGCGGAGTCTCTCCACATGGTTCCAGTCCAGTCTGCCCTCACTCTGCCAGAGCCCAAAGTGAGTAGCTGTAGCTAATTTAGTGCTCTGTCCCATCCCTCTATGCTGTGGAGCCAGCTAGGGATTTTAACCCTGAGGGAGCTGCTCAAAGCTAAAACAGCTGCTGTCCGTGGGCACCCAGCCCACCCTCTCATGCTTTCATAGTTCCTAAATGGCTCAATTTGTTGTCCTTTTTCTGTCCCTGGTTATATTGGTCCTCTCCAGCTGCTTTTCTGTTTATTTTTCCTGACCATTTGTCTTTATTTTAGTTGTAGTTCCAGTTTGGTCCTGGGTGATGGTCTGTGTAGCTTCCATTCACTCTGCCGCCATGTTGGAATTTCTCCTAAAGTATATTCTATATACCTTTCTATACTTGGATATATTTATATGCACAAGGATATTCACCATAAACATTGCTTGTAATAACAAAAAAGAAAAGAAAACAACTTAGAAGTCTGTCCACAGGAAACTAATTAAGTCAATCTTGTGAAACTACACAATGGAACACTATGCAGCCATAAATAAAGAGAAGGTAAAGGATCTCAAGTACTTATAGAAAGGTGCCCATGTTGTATCATTAAGAAAAGAAGAACAGGTAGCATGATAGTACACTGATTAGGAGATTATTTGTGTAAAACAATAACAAACAGCTATATATACATATATAAGACTGTGAAAATAAAATGTATCAGAAGGTATCCACAATAAACCCTTAATAAATACTGCCTCTGAGGGATGTAGGTGAGAGAAGGAAGGCAACTTTTATTTCTCACTTTGTACATTTCATACTATTTGAATATTTAGCCGCAGCATATTAATTTTATAACTAAAAAGAGTAGGTGTTCTTGTAAAAAGGGGAAATTTGGACACACACACAAAACATCATGTGAAGATGAAGACAGAGATCTGTGTGACTCATTTATAAGCCAAGGAATGCCAAAGTCTGGCAGCAAACCACCACAAGATAGGAAACTAGGAGAAAGGCATGGGACAGATTCTCTCTCACAGGCCTCAGAAAGAACCAACCCCACCAACACCTTGACCTCAGACTTCTAGCCTCCAGAACTGTGAGACAATAAATTTCTGTTGTTAAAGCATTCCGTTGTGCTACTTTGTTACCATAGCACTAGGAAACTAATACCAGGATGTTGTATTTTGCTTTATTCCACAGGACACACAGTCCTTGTGGACAAATAGTCCTTGTGGAACTCTTCTGGCTTTTGGTGATGGCCAAGTAGGTCTCTGAAATCCAAGAGCTGAGCCTCACTGATTCACCAACAGAGCTAGCTGACCCTTCTGCACAGAGACACGTGCACTAACAGGGCACAGAGGGAATGGAGACTGCCTGAGAGGGGGGAGCTTGAGCAATGTGGAAGGAAGAGAATGACAACATAGGGTATTCCCCCATCCCACCTCACCAGCACAATCTGTCAGAAATATGCACAACTCAGTGTAACACTAAGCTTTAAGGTACTCCTTCCTGAAGAGGTGCCACCTCCATTGAGTTGACTCTTCTGATTCATTCTGTGTGATCTGCACTAATACACCACTGGGAAGGTCACAGGGAACTGGGGGAGTGCATGTCTGCACTGCTTCATCACAGCCTTGCTTCTCTAATCAAGATGCTGTATCAGAATAGTCAAAATTGGTGGGTTTTATTAACATGGGCACCTTATTTGATGCCACAGATGATTTGTGAAGGGTTGGCTTAGAAGCAAAAGTTTTTAAGAAAACTTAAAAATAAAATGTTCATATTTTAAATAAACGCTGGTTAGCATTTGTCATTTCTTTCTTTGTTGTACCGCTGGCCAAATTACCAATCATATGTTGGTAGCTAAGAAAAAAATATGGCATCTGGATTATATCTAAATATGCTCACACCTCACAGCCATGTGGAACAGAAGTAGAAAAAGCTTTCCTAATATTCAAAAGATGGTAAGTGTGAAATAAAAGACCACCTGTGTTGTTGCATTTTCAGGGCATCAAACTAAGATTGTTGTATTAATCCTCTCAATATGACTGTGACAACCTGAGTTTATAGATTAAAACACACACACTTTTAGTACTGAGCTCAGGCCACATACTGAAAATAAATAAAAACCAGCATGGAAATAGAATTATTCACTAAAATAACCCAACAGTAAGATGAGGTACTATTCTAGATCTGTTTTCAAATGATGTTTTGAAGGCTACAAATTATATTTTTAGATTTCAGTTTGTTTCTGGCTGAGCAAAATATGCTTATATTCCCTCTCATGGATTTTATACCTTAAAGGCAAGCAAAACAAAACCAGTAACCCAGTCACAGAGCATTTAAATTTAACTTAATAAAGAACTTAGATTTGGGTAAAATCCACTTACTTCATAAGCCTGGGGGCTGGTTAGGCATCTGGCGATGGGTCCACAGCAAGCAGGGAGTGTTGTTGTGAGAGGAGGCCCACTGTGTGTCAGAAGAGGCTTCAGATAGCTGTACTAGTTAAGGAAAAGTTGTGTTCCTTTCTTCAGAAATTTAAAAGAACAACTCATTTGGTAACAACCACCATCATCAGAGTATACCAATCATGTCAGAGGATAGTAAAGGGCTTTCACATATGCTGTCTCACTTCATCACCACATTATGTCAGTGAAATATCAAAAGGAGCTTTTATTATTATCTTTATATCATATATATAGAAACTGAAGCTCAGAGAGGCCCATTATCTGCTTAAAGTCACACAATTAAGTAAATGAAGCACCAATACTGAAACTCAGATTGCACCCTTTCTACCATATCATATTGCCTTTCTGATTTTACTACAATCAAAACAAAGACAAACTCACTCTCAATTTAGCACTGAACGAGATACAAAGAAAGTAAGAAATGGTTAACAGTCAGAAAAGAGATTAAATATTTTAGTAGAATACAGTAATAAAAATGGTTTGAATCATTTACTCTGGTTACAGCTGACCTATTGAATGAGTTGAAACTTCAGTATCAAAGAAAATTCAATTGTAAAGACATTAAAAAATTATGTATCACAAGTTCTCCCTCTAATATAGACCCTCATTTCACTATTCATTTATTCTCCAAAAAATACAAACAAAAACAGATGTGATAATACACAGGGGTGGACAAACATTAGGTTTACAGTTGTGAGTATGCAAAACAGTTTATTCTTGCATTATTATTTATTAATTATTAGATTATTTATTTGTATTACAACAGTAAACCTACTTTTGCCCACCCCTGTATATGCTACTCAGAAGAAAGAAAAGGAAATCACAATTAGGGAAAGGGAGAAAGACATATACATATTTCCCACTTTCTAAAATTATAAACTCATGTTGTTCTCAATTAAAACTGAGGAAGTCAGCCTAGCCGTTGTGGCTCAGTGGTTAAGCATCAACCTATGCACCAAGAGGTCACTGGTTTGATTCTTGGTCAGGACACATGCCCAGGTTGTGGGCCCAATCCCCAGTGGGGGTCATGCAGGAGGCGGCCAATCGATGTTCTCTCTCATCAATGTTTCTATCCCTCTCTCCCTCTCCCTTCCTCTCTCTCTCAAGTCAGTAAAGAAAAAAAATAAAAATGAGGAAGTCAGAGAAAATGTCATAAACTACATATTTATAAATTCTAGGTAAAGATTAAGGAACTCTACATAAATGTACTTATGGCCTTTATAAAACATCTGGCCACACAAAACTACTGAAAACCTGGAATGATAAATTCTACTAGTACACCAAGTACAGAAACCACCAAATCTTAGTCTAGTGGTACTTAATAGGGTAGTACTGAGGCCAACAAGTCTTGGTGTTTAACTCTATATGAATAAAGTTCTTAATAACCAAAACCTACCAAATATTGACAAGAGTAAATCTGAATAGTCCTATATCTATTAAGGAAAGTAAAGACCTTATACAAAACACTTCAGGTTTAGGTGGCTTCACTGGTAAAATCTTCCCAGCACTTAAGGAAGAAGTAACAACAATCATCCAGAAAATGGGAAAAGAGAAAAATTCTTCCCTACTCATTTTATTTTTTAAATATTTTTTTAAAATTTATTTTAGACAAAGAGGAAGGGAAAGTAAGAGAGAGAGAAACATCAATGTAAGAGAGAAACATCGATTGGCTGCCTGGGGACTGATTGAGCACACAACCCAGGCATGTGTACCAATCAGGAAATGAACCGGCAACCTTTTTGGTGCATGGGACAATGTTCAACCAACTGAGCCACACTGGCCAGGGCTTCCCCACTCGTTTTATAAAGCCAGCATAATCTTGTTATAGAAACTTGACAAGACATTACAAGAAAAAAGTCACAAGCTAGTATCTCTCATTCAATAGACACAAAACATTAGCTAATTAAATCCAATGACATAGACAAAGAATAACACATCATGACCAAGGTAGATTTCTTCTAGAAATGCGAGATTGGTTTAATATTCAAATAATCAAAGAAACTCAGCACAATACCAGATTACAGAAGAATAAAATAAATATATGATCATCTCAAATGATGTAAAAAAAGAATCTGATAATATTCCATATTCATGATGATTTAAAAAGAAAAACCCTAGCATACTAGAGATAGAGGGAATATTCTAAAGTTGAAAAGGATATTTCAAAAACCTACAGCTAACATCATAGTTAATAATATTGAAAAATTTTCCCCCAAGGTCAGGAATAAGACAAAAATGTCCACTATCATCACTTACATTCAACATTACAAATAATAAGTGAGCCCAGCTGGTATGGCTCAGTGGTTGAGAGTCAACCCATGCACCAACAGGTCACTGGTTCAGTTCCCAGTCAGGGCACATGCCCAGGTTTGTGGGCCCAATCCCCAGTGGGGGGCATGCAGGAGGTGGACAATCGATGTTCTCTGTCATCAATGTTTCTATTTCTCTTCCTTCCTCTCTTTCTAAAATCAATAAAGAACAAAAAAGAAATAATAAGTGAGTTTAACCAGATTTCTGGATACAAGGTCAATATTTAAAAATCCAATTGTAGCCCAGCTGGTGTGGCTCAGTAGTTGAGCATTGACTGATGTACCAAGAGGTTGCCAGTTCAATTCCTGGTAAGGGCACATACCCAGGTTGTGGGCCCAATCCCTAGTTGGGGGTATGCAGGAGGCAGCCAATCAGTGTTCTCTCTCATCGATGTCTCTATCTCTCTCCCTCTCCCTTCCTCTCTAAAATCAATAAAGAACAATTATTTTTTTTTAATTTTTAAAAAATCCAATTGTATACCTAAAATACAAAAAACAAGTAGAAAATAAAACAAAAACCATTTGTAATAGCATCAAAAGTATCAAAAATTTAGGGATACATCTAATAAAAGATGTACAAAACATGTTACTGAAAACTACAAAAGATTAATGAGAGAAATTAAAGAAGGTCTAAATAAATGGAGATTCATAGATTGGAAGACTCAATATCGTCAAGATATCAGTTCTCTCCAAATTCATCTATAGATTTAATACAAATCCAATAAAATTGCCTGTGCATGTTTTGGTGAGTGTGTATGTATGAAAATTATAAGCTGTTTCTAAAATGTAGATAAAAGTGCACCAGACATAAAAGAGACAAAGCAATATTAAAGAATAACAAACCTAGAGTATTTCCTCTCTTGAAAAGCAAGACTTATATAAAGTATAATAATTAATAGAGTTTAGCATTGATGTAAAAATAGACAAATAAAAAAGAATCCAAAAATAGACTCCCATTATATGGCCCAGTGATTTACAACAAAAGCTCCACTGCAATTCAGTGGGTTAAGGATGGTATTTTCAATAAATGGTGATGGGTCCATTGAATACCCATATAGAGAAAAGTAGGTCTTGACCCATACCTCACACAATACACAAACTCAGATGTGATAGCTAAAACAATTACACTTTTAAAAGAAACAAAAAAAATATATCTTTATGACTTTGGGATATAAAAGATTTCTTAAGATACAAAAAGCACTAACCATAAAAGACTGATAAAATAAGCATCATTAAAATGAAGAATTTCTGTTCCTCTAAAGACAGGGTTAAGAACATGAGAAGGTGATCTACATATTGGGAGAAGATATTCACAATACATATAAGCAAAAATGAACCCAATTAGGAATGTAGAAAGAACTTCAAATCAATTAGATGAGACAATTCACATAATGGGCAAAAGAAGTGAAATGACATACTTCATAAAAGAAGATATCAAAGTGGCCAATATGAAACAATGTTTAACCTCACTGATTATCAGAGAAATGCAAACTAAACCACATGAGATATCACTGAACACCCAATGAAATGGCTAAAAATGAAAAGGCTGACAAATACTATGTTTTAGTGGAGATGTGGGACAACTATAACTCCCTTTACTTGCTGGTGGGATGTAAATAGGTTATAACCACTATGGAAAACTGGTTGGCAATATCTATTAAAGCTAAATATACACTTGCCCTAAATTCCACTCTTAGGTATCTAACTGAAGAGACAATGAGTGCCTGTGTTTACCAAAGGATATATACACGAACATTTAGTTTTATTTCTAATAGCCCAAAGCTGGAAACAAACCAAGTGTTTGTCCACAGTAGATGGAAAAAAAAAGAACCCATAATATATTCATACTATGGAACACTACACAGCAGTGAAAAAAATGAATTGCTAGTACAGGCAACACTATGGATAAACTATACAATGTTGAGTGAAAAGGCAAGACAAAATAATACACATAATTCTATCTATATGGTGAACAAAGGCAGGTAAAGCTAATCCATATTGCTAGAAATCAGAATAGTGGTTACCCTTTTGGGGGTGGATGGGGAAGTCATTACTGACAACCAGGGGACACAGGGTACCTTCTGGGTGCTGAAAATGTTCTATATACAGTGATACCTCGGTTCTCGAACATAATTCGTTCCAGGAGGACGGTCGAGAACCAAATTGTTCGAGAACCGAAGCAATGAAACCCAATAGGAAATAATGGAAACTGGATTAATTCGTTCCAAGCCCCAGAAAATGCCTATTTACTGGCCTAATTTGTATATAATATGTAGAAAAACATAAGTCTCAACAAGAAATAAAAGTGTACAGTATGTCTAAGGGTTAAATTCAGTGTAAAGCGTGACTCTCTCCACAAAGCGTGACTCTCTCCACAAAGCGTGACTCTCTGCACTCACACTGATGACGCAAGCAAGGCGCTCTGGGCCGAATGAACGCCATTCGGCTCAACTCGGCTCATCTCGGAAGTTCGAGTTCCAAATATTTGTTCGGATTCCAAGACAAAAGTTTCTCGAATCTCCTGGTCGAATACCGATTTGGTCGAAATCCGAGGCGTTCGAGAACCGAGGTATCACTGGTACTTTCTATGGGTGGCAGGCACACAGGTATACACACAGGCGAAAATTCATTAAGCTGTAAAGTCTTAAGATTTGTGTACATCACTGTATTTAAGTTGTATCTCAATTACAACAAAAAATCTGGCTACACAAAGGAAATGAAATCTACAATTATGAATGAATTTACCAGGATATTAGGTTTTAAAATTACCAGGTCTTAGTCTAGTAGTACTTAATAGGGTAATATTGAGTCAAACAAGTCTTGGTGTTTAGTTCTATAAGACTCTATAGAAAAAAAAGCTATTATTCTACTCTTTCTCTATATTAGGATCATTTCATTGTTTTGTACATTATGTAGAACATTTTATGCAGGAAACACTAAACAATTTTTGTTAAATGAGAGGGATGAGAAGGCCCTAAGAAATGTAGAAATGGCTTATACCCAAAATGCTGATAATGGAGCCAAAAGTAATGACAATTTTAAAGAGCCAGGATCACTCTCCCTAATGAGAGTCTTAATACCATAGATATGCATGCATTCTTGTTTCCATACAGTAATTTAATTTTGAGTATTGTGAAAAGTGAACATAAAAATCTAGCCAACATCCCTGGCCAGTTTGGCTCAGCGGTTAGAGCGTCGACCTGCGGTCCTGAGAGACCCGGGTTCGGTTCCCGCTAAGGGCGCGTACCTCGGTTGCAGTTTGTCCCCGGCCCTGGTCGGTCGTGCGGGTGGCAACCACTCGATGTGTCCCTTTCACGTCGATGTTTCTCTCTCTCTCTCTGTTCCTCTCTCTCCCTCCCACTCTACCTGAACAAAAAATGGAAAAATGTCCTCCGGTGAGGATAAAAAAAAAAAATCTAGCCAACAGAATATAGTAAGCAGTAGATTCCAATGATAAGTGTTAAATGCACTTTTCTTAAATATACAAGGCTTTGATCAGAAAGGCAAAAACAAGAAAAACTTTTTGTTAGTTATCCCAAATTTGTTTCAATGGAACATAAACCAGGTTTTGATTCATTTACTGATAAGTCTCAGCCTGAAAGAACTCCCTGGTCCCTTTTCATAGTTCAATTTTCAAATAAATTAATTTTAATAGATGTGAGTGATAAGATGTTTTTTTAAAGGTGTTATCTAAACAGGCTATAAGACTATAACATGACCCAAAGTGTAGCTATGAAGGAGACGGTTACAATAGGACAAGAAAGAAATTTGGTATATAATGAAACACTGGCATTCTCAGTGGTAAGGAGAATCTGCCAGTCTTTGGAAAGATCAGAGGAAAAAAAGGCATATCACTCATTATTGTGGTATCTAACATTAAAACTGTGTTTTTAATCTTATTCACATGCTTTTTCCCAAGGCAGCCTTTCTTCTTTTATTCTAGCAAGTACACTGACAAGAACCAACAAGTAACTTTTTCAGGATTCACTAAATTAGCTAAAAGACAGTAAGTATTAAAGTTTGCTCAATATATAACCTATATGTAAAAGAAAATCTATCATAAGGGCTCCTGAGTTCCTTCATACATCCAACTTTTGCAATTATCAGTCCTTACAGGTCTCTTGGGTTTTCAGAGGAATCCATTTGTGTGGGTTTCCTTTAATAACATTCTCCACTACACTGAAGGGGAAAGGAAGACCAAAGGTTTTATGTTCTGCTTCAGGTAGGCACTAGTCAAAAGAGTTGTTCCATTAAATTATAATTGTTCATGTCCATATTACCATTTTTCCTCAATTAAGGATACTTATGATCAAAGTTGTACCATATCCGGAAGAGCCAGGCACTCTCGGCTTTGGTAGTTCTTCTTTCATTTTCAGGAATACCCTGTAAACAAATAATAAAGAAATCAGTATATACACAAAGATAAAAACACATTTATTTAGAGTCACTTCAAAAAATCAGAAACATAGCCTATTATGTATGAAATACTCTCCAACCTGGGGAACATTAGAAATTTTCAGAGTTGCTACTATGTTCTTAGAATACTAGCAAAGTGAAAGCAAGTAGTGAAATTATATACTAAGCCTGACCAAGCTACAAGGCAAAACTAACATAACAAGCAGACCTCTTTAAAAATAGCTTCCAAAAACATAAACTGGGTCCTTATTTGTAATATGATGCAGTCAGTAGTGGGGAAGTTAGGCTATCTAGTTCATGTTAGCTCTGACATTAACTCATTGGGCAAGTCCCTTTCCCTTTGTGGGTCGGAATTTCTTTATGCATGCAATGTAAGGGTTAGAGAATACTGAAGGCCCTTTCTAGCATGAGTGTTCTATGGTTCCATGATTTTCGTTTTTTTATGTTTTTATTGATTTCTTTAGAGAGAGAGGAAGGGAGAAAGAGAGAGAAACATTGATGTGAGAGAGAAACATGAATCAACTGCTTCCTGCATGACCCCTACTGGGGATCAAGCCAACAACAGCAGCATGTGCCCTGACCAGGAGTCAAACTGGGACCTCTCAGACCATGGGATGATGCTCAATCCACTGAGCCACACTGGCTGGGCATGGATCCATGATTTTCGAAGAGCACAGAGTTTAGATTCCGTGTTTTGGTTCCTTCCTGATACTGAAAATAAATAAATCTTCCTTTCAGTATGTATACACAATAGAAAAATGTTTGAGAACATTGCATGGGCTTACAAGAGCTGAAGAACACCTCTATTTCCTTTTACATCAGTAGGCACAGGCTTGTCTTACTTTTTGAAGAGCAATTAATCTATAAATCTCACCATCACCTTACCACATAATCACCTATACACCCAACCCCCACACATTCCATACTAACTATACTGTTCCTCTGTGCTTCCCAGTGAACACTCACAATATTGAGTAAACAATATAACAAACCAAGATAGCCGTAGAGTTTTGAAGGCAAAGAAAAAATTGTATATTTTTTTCTGTATGTCACATGTGGTACTCACCAACTTGACTCTCTCCCTGTCACTCCATTTCCATTTCTCCTCTGTGATGACAGAGGTGACAAAGCAGGTGAAGACTTATGAGGTAGTGACCAAGCATTTGTCTGGTGAGCTGTATGGTAACTTTATATTTGTTTGGACACAAGGTGGAAGCATCAAGGAGCTATTATTCCTTTGGAAACGACCGCAGCAGCTGAACATCATGGGAATTTATCCAGCTTGGTTTGCTCAGGTATTTCAAGCCCATGGAATTATACTTTAAGGTTCTCACCAAAAAAGAGGCAAGTACTTACTATATCACATATACACTCATCACTCAACAGCTAACAAAATTAGCATTTAGGAAATTAATCTGACAAATATTTGTTTTTTTTAACTACACCCTAAAGACAAATAGACCAGAGCTTGTTTCAGACAAAAAAAAAAAAAAGAAGAAGAAGAAGAAGAATTGTGTTTTGAAAGAGATGCTTTCCATCTTTAAAAATATTTCTGTGATTTCCCATCTAATTCTAATGTCTAGGGCAGTCATGTATTAAAGAGGTGCTCAGGAACCAATAAAAAATGGACGGAAAATACCAGAAAAGAATGGTTAGTCTAGAGAAGGCACTAAGTTACACTGCAATCAGTCTACCAAGTTCAGGTGCAGAGAAACAACTGAGAAAGTAACACATGGAAGCAGGCAAGGAAATGTGGACAAGGCTGAGGCACAGGGTAAGTACATTCCCCTGAACAGACTGGCTGAAGATTCTAAAGCTTCTAGGTGGTTCCCAAGGGTAGCTGCTAGTCATCCAATTTGCAAGTTACACAGGAAGAGCAGCTACAGTGGGGCTTACATCAGAGAAAAGCCTTCATGCGCAAACCAAAGTGGAAAAAGGCTCCCTGTGCCAGAGCAGTCACTTGAAAACTCAGAAGCGCTTATGGGACTGCTCTTCTATGCAGCCAAAGCCCAGGTTGGCTCAGAGATATGACAGCTGTCACCCTTGATAACCACAGGCTAAAATTCAGTTTTGTTTCTATCGCAGAGTGAGAAAGGCCAGAAAAGATGCCAGTTAAAGGCTGATGCAAATAGGGCAGGATCTAAATAATGGTGGCATGAAGTCTATAGCAGATTGTTTTCTTTCCATACAACTACACATTTGACAGAAATACCAGGGATAACACACATGCAATATTTACCAAATGTTCTTGGTCTGAATCAACACCAACTCTAAAGGAGAAAAACAAAAGGCAAATGAGATCTTGAAGCTAAAAAAAAAAGTTTATTCATATATGTACACTGTCAGGCAACTACTTTTTTCAACGTAGAGCTATAGAATTGTTAATGTTTTCTTGATTCTCTCTGGTTGTTGATACAAAATTTTGGCTCCTGCTAACAACAGCTTGGATCCTTAGGCAAGCAGGGTCTACGAATAATTCTTTTCCTGCAATCCCACTTACCCTTTACAGAAAAATAACATTTGCTTCTCTGAATATAAGTCCATTTTATAAGCAGAGTCAGGGAAAGCAGCATTGCCCGTTACTGAATAAGAAATACTGAGTGGTTTCAAAAACAAGGCTAGTACAATGTAGTTCCAGCAGGAAGTTTCATGTTTTCAGACCTCACAGCTCTCATGGTAACATTCTGTTGTGATGACTGAAGAGAGGGTCCAATTACAGTTTTTATTCCCCATGGATTAATGGATAGACATTAGTCTTGTTTCTTCATAATTCTTTTTCTTTTTTTAAATTTATCTTTACTGTTGAAAGTATACAATATCCTGCCTTTTCTCCCCATTGACACTCTCCATCCCACTCCTGCCCACCCCCCAGGCCTTCACTGCACTATTGTCTGTGTCCACAGGCTTCACAATTCTTTTTCATCTGCTCAGAATTCCTGCTTTCCGTATCCCAGCTGATAGGTGGAGGTCAAGAAATAAAGCTGTTCTCTTTAACTCTTCTCTATCTCCTTCAACACCAGTAGCACTCTCCAACTCTGTTCATTCTTTCTAAACTCTCTCAGATCTTCTCTCCTTTCCATTCCAACTGCTCACGTTCAGGCTCCATTCTGACTCAGGGGTCTGCAGCAATTGGATGTAAGGTTTTCCAGCTGCCAAGCTCTCCCTTAGATTTTGCTATCGAGTATAGAGCTCACTGGGTTATTCCCCTGACAAAACACTCTGAGAGCAGCTCATAACCCAGAGGGTTAAGTCTAAAGTCCTTTGTGTGGCATTTAAGATTCTCTACAAATTAGCACCCCTCCACTCCAACCTACCTTTCCCCTCATTTTATTCTATATACTCTCTATTAGCCACACCTGACTACTACTCTCCCAAATCCCTGTCCTCTCCCGAGCCTCCGTGCCTCCGCTCATGCTGTTTCCTCTATCTGAAATGCATTGTCCCTCATTTATTTCTAGTTCTTTTTTGAGTTTTAAATGAACCAGTCTAGGACCCCTTCAAGTGGAATCATTTTACCCTTTGTTCTTTGACAGCACTTTCTAGATTCTTCTATAACATTTAACACAGTATAGTGATTTACCTGTCAGTCTCCTCAAATAGACTGTGAGTTCCTTGAGGGTAAAGGTCATGTCTCAATTCACCTCTGTATCCCCAGAGTCTAGCACAGTACCTGACACACAATAGGTGCTCAAATGTGTATCGATTAAGGTCACTACTACAGACAACACAGAAAAAATAGCAGTGTGAGAAGCTGTAGCAGTAGCAACCCAGAATACAAATACCACCGAAGGGAGGAAAATGATGCAAGACCTCATCCAAAAGGCAAGTGAATCATGGTCAAGTACTTGAAAACAGATGGAAATTATGATCAGATTCATAATTCCAAGAAAGGTTAATTTCTTCTTTGTTAAAATGGCCAGAAGCTGTTCAATATCTTAACATATTAAACTCTAACCACATTTGTGCATCTAAAGTGACACCTAGTGGTCTTAGAGAGAACACATTTGTAATACTTAGATGGAACATTATCAGAAGCCAATTCAATGTAATAAACATTTAGAGAGCACTTATTATCTGTCAAGCATTGTGCTAGGCACAGGGCACAGACATAAATTAGACACGGCCCCTTCCATCAAAGAGCTCGAGTGAGGGAAATAGACACAACTAGAGCGTAATCCCCAAGGACTTTGCAATCAGGGAGAGCTGGGTTCCAATATGACCTTAGCTCCTTTCTAGCTGTATGAACTTAGTCTAATTATGTAGTCCAATGAACCATGGTTTTTATCACCAGGAAAATTGGAACAATATCCACCAAACAGAGTTTCTGCAACAATTAAATGAGAAAATACATATAAAGATTTTATTTTTTTCTTTATTGATTTTAGAGAGAGAAAGGGAGAGAGAGACAGAAACAGTGATGAGAGAATATCGATTGGCTGCCTCCCGCATGCCCCCCACTGGGGATCAGGCCCATAACATTGGCATGTGCTCTGACTGGGAATCAAACCAGTTACTTCTTGGTGCATGGCTCAATGCTCAACCACTGAGCCACACTGGCCAGACAACATCTCAAGATTTTAAAAGAGTGTCTAGTACATCATTAACATGATGTGGTAGCTCTTATAACAATATTATTATAAGGCTGATTGGAGTACGTGCTCTAATGAAGATACCCAAAGTGAAGCAAATGGAAGAATGGTTGCAATACAAAATAAGAGGGCAGAAAGAAGGAGGCACTGTGTTATTTCTTGGGAGTAAAAGAGAATTCCAGGCAAAGAAATAATGAGAGCAAATGCTCAGAGACAGAGAAGTACAAAGTATGTGTGGTAAATGACAGGGAGCCAAATGTGACTCTTACAAACTATGATAAAATGTAGGGATAGCTAGCTGGCTGGCTGTAACTTACTGAGGACCTGTTGTCCACACAACAACTGGAGTGATACTTTTACCCTACAAAATAATCAAGTCACTCCTTTGCTTTAAAATCTTACAACATTTCCAATTGGATTTTAAAATCCAAACTCATTACCATGTCCCACAAGACCTAAAAATAGGGGTCCACAAACTATGGCCCATAGGCCACATCCAGCACACCTCCTGTTTTTGTGAATAAAGTCTTGTTGGAATACAACCACGCCAACTGATTTATGCACCATCTGTGGGGGGCTTTTATGCTAGAGTTGAGTAATTGAGATGGAGACAATATGGCCTACAAAGCCTAAAATATTTAATATATGCCCTTTTACAGGATATGTATGCCAACACCTGCACTTATAGGTTTTTGTCCACCTCATTTCCTACCTATCCTTCAATCACTATATCCCAGCTATGTGGGTTTCTTTCTGTTCATTAAAAAGGCCAAGTTTGTTCCTGCCTCAGGGCTTTGCACTTGCTTTCCTCTCTGCCTAGACTGCTCTTCTTCCTGCTCACTGTATAAATGGCAATACCTTATTCTTCAGTAGACTGAGCTTAAATGTAACTTGAGAGAGAGAGGGGTGAGGATAGATAGAGACCTTTCCTGACCTCCACCTATAAGATACATGTGATCTCTAGTCACCATCAGAGTACCTTGTTATCATAGCATTTAATATCATCTAACTCTGTTATTTTCATTTGATTATTAATTTACTGTCTGTCTTCCACTAAAATACAGACTTTATGAGACCAGGAGAGTTTTCTGCCTTATTACTACTGCAGTATATCTATAGAGCAGGATTTCAACCTTCACCTTACTGACATTTTGACCCAGATCATTCTGTTATGTGGGGCTGCTGTATACACTGTAGAGTGTTTAGCAGAACCCTGGCCCTCTACTAACTAGATGCCAATAGTAGCCTCCTGTCTTCAATTATGACAATAAAAAATGTCTCTAGACATTGCCAAATGTCCCTTGGGAAAGGTGGCAAAATCACCCCCAACAGAGAACCACTAAACTAGAGCTTAAAACAATGCCTGACATTCTTCTAAGAGTTCTGGGGGAACCAACATGGCAGCAGGCAGGACCAAAGTGAGGGTGGAAGTGTGAGTGGGTGAGCATGTGCAAGAGAGACAGTGCATTGGTGTGAGTGGGGGTGGACATTAGTCTGTCAGTGCAGGTGCTCAGGGCAGGCTGGTTGGGCACTCCTGGTGAAAGGGGAGCAGTACTAGGCCCCACGTACTGCTTGGCCAGGTGCTTTTCACCTCTTGGAACAGAAAAGTGTGCCATTTAGGAGGATCCATAATGTCCTCATTGGGAGAAGGCTGCAGGGAGCAGCCGGGACCCAGTGACTTGAGGCCACAGAAAAGTACAACTGGCTCCACCGCCACCATGACCTGCTGGGACCACCACCACTGCCACAACCTGCCATGGGCCCTGCTGACACTGCCACCACTGCAACCCACTGAGACTGGCAATGCCACCACTGCACTCAACTGCCCCTAGATGCACAGACTTACCCCCATGACCCAGCGCACCCCACTTGGCATCCCGAATTACGATACCGCTAAAATGCGGAGACAAAGAAGCAACCCCCAAATGAAAGAAAAGGAGGAATCGCCAGAAAAGGAACTAAATGAAATGGAGGCAAGCAATATGCCAGATACAGAATTCAAAGCAATGGTTTTAAAGGTGCTCAAACAATTTAGTGAGAACTATAAGCACTTTAATGCAACTATAAGGAACTTAGTGGAAACTGCATCAGCATAAAAAAAAAAGATATTGAAACTATGAATAAGAATCATTCAGAAATTAAGAATTACATAGTTGAAATAAAGAATACCTAGGAGTCAACAGAAGATTAAAAGGTGAGGACTGAATCAGTGAATTAGATGACAAGGTAGAAATAAACACTCAATCAGAGCAGCAATTGCAAAAATAATTAAAAATCAAGAGAATAGTTTAAGGGAGCATTAGGACAAAATGAAACATAACAAAATACGCATCATAGGGGTACCAGAAAAAGAAGAATCTGAGCAAGGAATAGAGAACCTGTTGGAAGAAATAATGACAGAAAACTCCTCTAACCTGGTGAAAGAAAATTTCACACAAGTCCAGGAAACACAGAAAGCCCCAATCAAGATGAACCCAAAGAGACCCACATCTACACACATCATAATTAAAATGGCAAACATTAAAGACAAAGAGAGAATCTTAAATGCAGAAAAAGAGACAGAAAGTTATCTACAAGGGAGCTCCCATTAAACTGTCAGCTGATTTCTCAATAAAAACACTTCAGGCCAGAAGGGAGTGGCATGAAATATACAAGGTAATGAAAAACAAGACACTGAATCT